CAGAGGCAACTCTGAAAGATGCCTTCATTTATTATTCAATAATTTCACTTATCATAACAGTGAAGAACAATTGAGCACACTGGATTATTGGGATAAAGGCGCTCGTTTTTTAATAAAGCAAAATAATATACTAATTGCGTCGAGCTTGTCATTTTTTGAAAAATGAAAAAAAAAATTGTTAATGACCTGACAATTATGTTTTTGTTTTTATAGTTGAACGAATGATCAACTGCATTTAAAAAGCTTATCTTTCTTTCAGGGAGGAAAAGCGAGAAAAGTAATACGCGCAGCTCTTTTTCGTATTAGCAGTGTACAACTATAGCTATAGATATATAGCCCGTGGTATGCATATACATATAGGTTTAGCTTCTCCTCCATCTCCATTCTCCATCACCGATGCACACATTTGGATTCTCATGTGTCCCTCACTGATCTCCCCTTACCTCTCCCCGCGAGCCGAGACGACAAGCCGCCAGCCAATAGAAAACATGTGCACGGTTCCTCTGCTGGCCACGATGGATTGGCGCTCAAATCAGCGCCGAAACATCGGCACACTCTTTAACTTATAGGTTATAATTAGATAAAGATACTCACGGTATCAACACAGCACGAGTAGCAAATGTGTGGATGGATGACTATAGAAGATTTGTTTTTGCATGAAGAAAAATTTAAGGTATTAATAACATAAATATATTTACTTTGAAAACAAGTATAAAAAAAAAAAAAAAAATTTTACCAGAATAATCCACATTTGATAGGTGACATACAAGATCGATCAAAGTTACATGAAAAACTTAAGTGTAAGAGTTTCAAATGATATTTGAATAGCGTTTATCCTGAAAAGTTTATTCCAGATCAGCACATACAAGCTTTTGGTAGTTCAAGCACAATCAAAAAATTTGTGTTTGGACTTTTTTCAAAATGATGAAGAAAACCCGTATGATTTAGGTTTATATGAATGTCACCCTCGACTCTTACATAGTCAGGTACATACATCTTCATTTCATTTGATTAAAAAAATTCAAGTTTTGATAAGGTGAAAAAATCTTAGTTTATCAAAAACGCCTCTCATGAAATGTCAATTAAATGTATTGCTGCAATATTTATTATAATTTGTAATTTTTGTTATTTTAGTATTTTTCACTCAGTAAATCTGGAAAATTAAGAAGAAAAGAAACATGTGCAGTTGTGATAGAAGGTGAAAATGAAATGTTTTTGAAGTAAAAATGAAACCTTGTGAAGAAATTAGAGATGATAAAAAATGGATGTTCAGAGAAGTATTTAGACCTAGCATAAATATCGTTTTTTTTTCACAAGAAAACTAATTCATTAAAAGATGATCATTTACAAAACAGGATGGAAACATTCATTTAAGAACTGGCTTATGTCTTAATAGCACTGGCATAAAATCTAAGGAAAATGTAAAAGCAGTCACATGTTCTGATCTAATAGATCAGCTTTGGATGGTTAACTATTAAAATGAAATCAATTCTAGATAAAATATGACAGGCAATTTTTGAAAGTAAAGTTTGATGGAATGTCGATACCACAATAAAAATAATAAATTTTCATACTTTTTATTAATTCTTTTTAAGTGACATTACAAAACTGTAAAAACTAACGTTGAAAATACTCAAATAATTAAAGAAAAAGATGTTTTTAATCACTTACTGGTAATAAATCTTGAAAGATTGTACAAAATTAAAACCTATTTCTGAACTTAGTGTGAATATTAATTGACCTAAAGAAGAGAGTTTTCACTTCTTACATATTCTCCAATATCAGCTTGATGATAGCAAACTACTGCCATGGGATCAGCAGCTTTACAATCAAAAGTATTTTTTGAAGCAACCCCAAATCCCTGCAAGAATAGTGAACTGTAGCAATCATGTGATCAATAAGTAAAAATAAATTTTCAATAGAAGTCATGATCATTTCTATAAACCATTATGGGTAACTTACCAGTGGCAAATCATTAAATGAAAAAATTACAACTCCTTCATACTGTGACACATTCTCTGTTATTCTGCCCAAACCAGCTTTAGTAATATTGTTTCCATACAAAAATTGCTGTTCAGCTGTTGATTTCAACCACATTTTGTTCTGAAACAAAAATTTATAAAAAAAATTGATAATTGATGCAGAGCTGTCTCGAGCAAATGTAATAACATTAATTGTATCTCACGAGCAAACCTGTGCATAAGGAACGATCAAATTCAAGGCAGTAATATGTAGCAAAAACTTTCCAGTCTTAGTAAACTTTCCAATACACGTGCCTGCACTTATTAAACTATCTATTGAGACAGTTTCTGCTAGGACTAATATCTTTTCTGACATGTAGTAGACTCTGTTTTTTTGTTCACGAAGACAGTAGACGCTGTCAGGTCTGTCAATCAGCCGTTGAAGATTATCTCCAATGCTGAAATAAATATAACCAAAAGGACCGATTGGCTGCGTTTTTGTAGTTTGTTCGCAAAATTAAATACATTACGATCTGCTTCAGAGAAATGCACGTTTCCTAGCTAAATACTTATCCATTACTAAAAATACCGTAGTTACACGAGTAAGCATAACTAATAAGTAGACTTTAGTACTTTGACCTCATGAGAAATAATATATAATCGATACAACCTAGGAAGTGTATTTCAAATTGAGAACTTACTATTTCGTAAGCTTAGCAAAAACAAGCTTCGTCCTCTCTTCCGACAAGCGCCTCATTGCTGTAAATTAAATTAACAAATTGGTACGAGTGCAACTCTCCGAAACTTAAGGCAGAGATGAGTGGAGAGAGTGCTAACAGAGGTTGATAAGGGCTCGGGCCTCGGGCACATGGAACCGCGTTAAGCGTAAAGCGTACCATGATTCATAATGTAAGAATATAAGGTGTGGCGTTCCGAGGTCTTATTTTCGTGCCGTTCTGCGCCTTTCATCGCGATGCCATATTTGAGGAAGATGTAACTACTACAACGCCGACGGCCTGTACAATGAAACGAAGTGGTCAAACTTGAAACTAAAATCTATCCCCCGCATCCACCTCGAAGTAAAATTTATATAGATTTAGACATACGTATGAATAAACATGTACGTCAATTGGTGGAGCTATTCACATCGACATTTTTTGCTTATTTCATTGTGAACGTTCATATTGAAAAGGGGGTTCCACTGTTCCGCTAAACTCAAAGTGAGTGAACAGACTGAACAGACCTATACTGTGTTTTCTGACAGTCAACATAGTTGCGACCATAGGCTTTGTTGCCTGATGGAAAAAGAGGTATAGGTCTATTCAGTCTGTTCACTCACTTTAAGTTTAGCGGAACAGTGGAACCCCCTTTTCAATATGAACGTTCACAATGAAATAAGCAAAAAATGTCTATGTGAATAGCTCCGATAAATGATTACCTATTTAGTCAGTTTTTCTGAGTGAATATTCACGAATTGTACGTTTAGTCACTGAAACAACTGGAATGAAAATATTGAAATAAAAAATATATATATTTTTTCACAAGTTTCTTCATGTTGATATGTTTTATATTTTAAAAGCTTTTGAAATTCGCAGACAGACATGGCGGTGCGATAGAAGCGTTCCTGATTGATCAATCAAAATGGATGCGCAACGCCACACCTTATATTCTTACATCATAAAGCGTCTCGCGTGTCGCGTAAAATTATAGGATCCGGGAAAGTTAGGTAAGGTACGCTTTACGCGAAAAAATTTGTCATTTGTCAAAAAAACATTTAGAATATATATAAACATATATGTTATCAAATAAGAGTGTGGATTTACTCAGGAAAGCCATTTATTGAATATAAATACAGTGAATACACAAGAGTGATGCGAAATCGCACGACCGCTACTGCCGCGTGCAGCCTGGGGAGGGGCTCAGCGTTGGGTTAGGCGGATCCAACATCGGAACTTTTTCCCTAGATCGTATATATAGCTATACGATCTAGGGAGAATGTTCCGTCGAGCAGACAGCACAGCAGTGAAGGGGCATTGCCAAAGACACGCGGAAATTCAAAATTGTAATATCAATAACACAAGTGCCTATCACCCATTGACCTGAGGCGCTAACTGGCTACTCTGTTAAATAAATAATTTTTAATAACACAAGCGCCTATCACCCAATGACCCGGGGCGCGAACTGGCCACTCTGATAAATAAATAATTTTTAATAANGGTGGCCAGCGGAGGCGCACGCATGTCGTGTATGCTACTATGCTAGGTTGATATACATATAGATATGCGAACATACACAACAATATATATATATATATATATATATATATATATATCGCTGAAGCGCGCGGTCGGCTAGGTCGTGGATTGGCACACGGGAGACCGTGGTTCGATTCCCGGCCATAGTGCGACTTTCGGGCAAGTACCTCTGTGACTTTTACATGTGCTTTTTCACCACGCAATGCTTCTCGAGGAGAGTTTTTAGGCGACCTTCTCGCAGCAAAAATTGCCTAATTTCCCCCTACCCCCTCCCAGTAATGGGAGGCCGCCTATCCCTCTTCCCTTCCTTCTCTCAAGTGCTAAGTGCCCNTAAATAAAAAGGAAATAAACTAGAATGATGAATCACCTTAAAAAAAAAAAATTTGCCGACAGTTGGAATCGATCCTCAGATAGCAAAACAAGACTAGTGGTGGCATAAGCCCTTGCTACCTTAGCTATCGAAACTTACTGGCCACTCTTTTAAATAATTAATTATTAAAATAACACAAGCGCCTATCACCTTATGACCCGGGGTGCTTACTGGCTATTATTGAATAATAAATTATCAAGGAATTACAAGAGCGCCATTTAAAAAGATCTCTGTCGTGCTAGATAGGCAATCAAAATTGTGATATGTTTACATATATTATCGATCAACTTTTTATTATTTAATAGTGTTGCAAATAAGTGTCCTAAATCATTAGGAAAAAGGTGCTTGACATATTTATTAATAACTATTTATTTACTAGATTTGNCGCAGTACATCTAAAATCCGCTAGGTGGTTTCGAGTAGTAGAGGCAGTTTTTATAATGGTCAGTATGACTATATAAAAAAAAAAAAAAAAAAAAAAAAAATTTTCATACTATCAATGGCCTGCACGACACGGATCCCTCTGGTGGCTAGTATCGGTACTGCGACAAAATTTGAACTTTTTTTACAATGCGTTGAGGTAGGCCTTCGGCCCACCTGTCTATTCTTACACCATGCACACAGCTAAGCCAGACCGCGCTTCACTTTAATGCGATCCGGACGTGCCGCCGCGCATACATACACTTACTTACTTTTGTATCACGTTTGCTATACTTTAAATAAAACTTTTTTACATCATCTGTGTCTGTGCCCGAATTAATTCATAAACCCATATTCCTGCTACACTCCAGTTTGATCCCCTACAATGGCGGATGTACTGTTTTCAGTTTACAGAAATTTTTTTTGCGAAATATGTAGTTACAATCTGTAACGAGGCAAAATGGCCTCTATATTCCAAAATGCTCTCGCTGATGCAACGTGTATACAAAGAGCATTAATTTGACGCTTCTCCGAACTGTTTGTTTATCGGGAGCTGTATACACGCTAAGAGGAGGGGACGAGGACGCCAACGGACAAACAGCTGAGATGCAGAGACACAGCAGCGCCAGCAGAAAAAGACAAGGAAAGTGCGAACGCGACTACCGAGACACAGCAGCTGCTAAGTATGAGAGTGACTGCGAGAGGAGATACGTGGCGGCGGCAGTGGCGGCGGCCATTGCTTGAGCAAGAGATCTTGAGTGAGTCTGGAGTAGAGCCTCGAGCTGCACGCTTAAGCGCGAGCAGCGAGAGCTTCGGTGGTTTTGTGGGATTTCGTGGCGAAAGTTGAGAGAGAGAGTTTTCGAGAAGGTGCGTTGTGTGTTGAGAGAAGAGAGAGGAGTGTGCGTGCGAGACGAGAAGCTGCTGTGTTCTCCCCGAACAACGAGGTCTCCAAGCCGAAGACTACGGCCGCTGAGAGAAGAAGCAGAGAGAGAAGAGTTGAAAGAGAGAGAAGAGCAAAGGTGAAGCCGCAGGACGAACGACCCGCTCGAGGACACCGGACGACATCACGCCAGGTTGTACTCGCGGACGTTTGACCAGGAGGTGAGGCTAGAGAGAGAGAGAGAGAAGTAGTGTGTAGCGTAGACAGTGCGAGAGAGAGTGAGAAAGAGTTTGGGTTGACGAGACGAGGTGTACGAGAGACCGCGAGGTGCACGGGAGGGCCGCCATTTTTCGTGCGCGTTGTCGTGTATTAGGGTAGATAGTAGAGTAGAGAGAGAGAGTGTATAGCAGTGTGAGAGATTGGGGACGGAGGGTGAGTGTGTGCGTAGTAGTGTGGGTCGAGGACGAGCAGGAGCCCCTCCTGGTCCCCGACAAGCAGGACGTGGTGGACGAGCGCTCGCGGCTCGCGGGGTGCGAGGCGAAGTCGCTGCACACGGAAAGACCGAGATCATTGAAAATCCCCTACTACAATATTTGATCGTAAGAAATACTACACCAACGTTATATTTTTTGCTTACTAACACAAGAATTCTTAGTGTCACCTTAAGTGGTCTTAAATTTCGTGCCAAGTATATAGGTTTTAAGATATCAGTACAAGTATTTAGTGACGATGGTACGGTTTTTTCCCTTACCAACTGTAGCTATGAAAAATAGATGTATCCAGTAGGTGTTTACGACGTACTATAGTGCGCAGAGCACTTTTTTTTTGTGGTATGCATTTTTAATATACCTGTAGGTACATTAAAAATTATCCATATTCATTGTAATATTATTTTTATCATAATAAATGTATGTACCAGCGTTAAAAAAATAAGTGACAGTTAATTAGGATACTGGTGCAGTGATGAATTGTTAATGTTGTTACTATAAATATCAAAAGTAACCTCAAAGTGGATCATGGATGACTTTGTTAAAAATATTTTAGTGAGTTGGAAATTACAATGTCTCACTAATATTTTTTCATGAGAGTAAAATTATTCAATTACTTATTTATTTACATGAGATAATACCGTACTTAGTGTTCATATAAACTTATACCTAACGCAGTAGAAGGAGATTTTACATAACATACTTGAGCGTAGGTTTTAGACAGACGTGGTACGGGAAAAAACCGTACCAAGCTATGAAAAACTCATAACTAAGTATAGTAGAGGATTTTCAATGAACTCGGTCTTTCCGTGTAGGTTTTAGACGGACCTGGTACGGGAAAAAACCTTACCAAGCTATTAAAAACTCGTAACTGAATGTAGTAGGGGATTTTCAATGA